CACCTTGCTTGAGAGTTACTATTAACTCTCAAGCTACCAGAAACTACAGTTATCCGGCACATACCAATCCCTGTGAGTGCCGGATAACTTGGAGTTTACTGTATTTAAACTATTTTTTTTTTTTATTTTGTGATTGTAAGGTATTGTAAAATGCCCACAGCATTTGTCCAGAATAGTATGCAGAAATTACTTCCTGCCTCATTTAAGCATAGTTCATTCCCATGATCTTTGTATACATACACATATGGTCAAAGCAGAGGACATGAAATCTAAGCCACAAGGAAACACATCCATTGTCCTGTAAGCTAACTCTTATGGGGCTAAGGGTACACCTGTCCAGTGAAAATTGTCTAGGGATTTTGTAGAGATTATTTCCCACTTCCTGTTATGCCTGTGGAACAGGAAGTAAAAGTGACACTAAGCTTAGGAGTTAAATCTTAACAATGAATTCAAGTATCTTAACTATTAAAAAAATTTATCTTATTTGTGTGTCACTCAGCTGTAGATCCTCAAATCATCTCTAAATTCATGGTGACACTGTCCTTCCTTCTGGAGGGTGGCTACTTTTGTTCCCCACCACTCCAAGATCACTCCCATGATGGACTACAATCTCAAAACAAATTAGTAAACTAAACATGAGATTGTGTCCATCACAGGAGCGAGCTTGGAGTTGTGGCTACTTTACAACACACAGGGACCATGGGGAACAAAAGTAGCCACCCTCCAGAAGGAAGGACAGTGCCAGCATGAATTCAGAGATGATTTGAGGCTCTACAGCTGAGTGATACACAAATAAGATATACGGGTCTATTCACTAAGCTGCCAAGTAACTAAGTGACCCGAAGCGAAGTGAGCCGAACGCTGTTCGGCTATTCACTTCAGGGTTGTACGGCTGATTCCAGCCGTGTATGGGCTGAAATCAGCCGTACATCGGGTGGCTTCAGCTGGCTTCGGGTTGGCCAAACATGCTCAGCCTGTTCGGTCGACCCGAACTCCATATATATACTGAGTTGAACTCCATATATATGGAGTTTGACTCAGCCGATATAACATCTGGATCGGCCAAGCCGAACCTCCGGCAGGCTACTCGCTGCTGTGTGGCCTATTCTCATAGATGCCGAACAGCAGTGGGTGAATAGCTGAATGCCGCCGAGCGGCATTCAACTCAGCTTTTCGGCTCACTACCTCTGTGGTACCGAGCAGAATAGAAAAACAGTTTAAAAAGTAGAAAAAAAATAGAAAACAATTAGGCGGAGCTAGCAGTGACAGCTAGCTCCGCCCCAACTGTTTTCTATTGGCAGGGCAGTTCTGCTGCCGTCAGAATAAAACTAAATAAAAAAAACATCATAGGAATGCATAGCTACATTCCTATTGGCTATTTCACTTTGCAATAGCCAATAGCAAACTAGCCATTGCACCCACCCTCTGCTGCTGTCAATCACTAGAGGGGACCTGATGGAGAACTTCAGGTCCCCTCTGCTTATTGACAGCAGCAGTGGGCGGGTGCAATAGCTAGTTTGCTATTGGCTATTGCAATTTGAAATAGCCAACAGGAATGTAGCTATGCATTCCTATGTTGTTGTTTTTTTACGGCAACCAACGGCTCCGATGTCAGAAGAAAAACAAAAAAAGACAACAGAGCAGGGAAAGGTTTACTCTGCTCTGTTTCTTTCCCGTTGGCCGGGAGTCGCTATCTAATAGTGGGAGACTCCCAGAGCCAGTGGCGGAACTACCAGGGT